GTGCGCGGCGCGTGTAGCGCCACGTGCCGCAGCGAGTGTGTTTTTTCAATTGTGTTTGGTTATTTTTGTTGCTGGTGACTTTGTGTTTCATATAGAAATCGCCTCCAGTGCTGCTGCTGGCGGCAATAAAAGTTGTTTACAAGTTTCTCTCTCCTCTCTTTTTTACGATCAGAGGAATCAAGCAGATGCTCGGTTTAGTCGGCACTTTGCTTTGTTCATCATGTCGTTTTTTAGGTTTTTTTCTTGATTTGTTTTATGTGCCCCCCCCCCTTTTTAAATCAATCTGTGCTACTTTCTTCGTAGACACAAACACCAACACGAAGAAGCACGCTCCGCTTCTCCTTATCCCTTCCCTATCTCTCTACCCCCTCTCTCTCTCTCTTTACCCCATCTCTCTACCTGGCCAACCTACCAGACACAAAATGAAGATACCATTTCTCTCCCCTCATTGCAGCTGCCCTTCAGTGGAAACAAATGTACAAGTCTCCCGTAGCCAAACGCTGCGGTGACCTCCAGTGGAGGTTGGCACACTGCACGTTGCCATCGGCCGTGTGGCTGAGCCGCATCTCGCCAGGGGTAACAGACTTGTGCATTTCCTGCTGTGCCAGGGAGGATCTGCCCCACCAATACTTACACTGCCAGCGGCTCAAACCAATGTTCCGCCTTTTGGGGGACATCTTCAGGAAACTGGGGGTGCCCATCTACAACAGCAGCTTCGTATATGGGTGCCTTACCTGGCTAACAAGCGTCATGACCTCGCCAACTTCGCCTGTCCTCAGGCGAAGATGGCGGTGTACAGAACGAGAAAAACGATGCTGGAAGGTGACACTGACGGATGATCCGTGCTTCCAGTGTTCAGAGGCCTGCTCAAGGCGCGTTTGCGGCTGGAGCACGCCATGTACCATACACATGTCGGTGATGTGCAGCGTGTCTTCTTCGAACGCTGGGGAGCCGGACAAGCCCCTCTCTGTACCAGCGAGGACGGCACCCTCGTGGTGTTCACCTTCTGAAACGCTCGCTTGTCACCGTGGTGTGCACGATGACCACCACTACCATGTGACTTTTCTTTCGTGTTGTGTGCGGTGCATTTAGCACCACAGCGCGTGGATTTGTAGCGTTTATTTTCATTTGTTTGCTGGTGACTTTGTGTATTTCATATCAGAATCGCCTCCAGTGCTGTTAGTGCTGGCGACAATAAAAGTTGTATAAACGTAAAGTCTACCCCCTCTCTCTACCGCTCTCTCCCTACTCTCTCTATGTTCCCCCTGTTTTCTATGTAATTTTATTTATTACATTTTTTAAAACTACGACAAGTGCTGCATCTGCACCCAGCAATCCTCGCAGTCCTATGGCCTCCGACGGTAGCTCAGATCTGCATGCAGAGCTCCCCGTCTTCTGCCACTGAGCACACGGCCTCCTCCAGCGCCCACTGCTCCTTGAAGGCCGGCGCGGCGTGGGTCAGCTGTGCACGCCGGAACTCCAGCCACACACTGGCACTGACCAGAGTGCAGAAGATGCCCAGGCTGCTGGCCGGACGTTTCCCCTCCAGGGCCACCTTCCTCGCCCTGTAAATGGCGAGCTTGGCGTAGCCGACGAGCCAGTTGACCAGCCCGTGAAGATGTTGAGATCCATCGCCATTCGGGTGTCCAAATATGAGGACCGTCGGGGAGAAATGGAGGCTGAACCTTAGGAGGATGTTTCTAAGGACCTTGAACAGTGAGTCTAGGCTCACGGCCAACACCGGTGACCATTATCTGAACCGGTCGTGGGCCTCCCCTAGGTCGACTCAGCCTCAAATGAGTACCTGGTGCGGTGTGTAAGCATCACCACTAGGGAGACAAAGACGGCCGGGCGTGTTGTTGGCCACCCACCCCCTCGTGTGCCGTGCCGGCCTTCATAGGTGCTCGCTAACAGCACTTGCCCCTACAGTCCCTACAGTCTGTTACAGGCTTTTCGGGGGATCTTTGTCTTTGTGCGTCATCCATCGCTCGCACCACCACCGCTCCATCACTAATCCATCGCTCACTCCACTATTGATCCTTTACTAACTCCATCACAGGTAACATCACTCCCTTCACCATTCATAACATCGCTCGCTCCACCACTGATCCATCGCTCGCTCCACCACTGATCCATCGCTCGCTCCACCACTGATCCATCGCTTGCTCCACCACTGATCCATCACTCACTCCACCACTGATCCATCACTTGCTCCACCACTGATCCATCGCTCACTCCACCACTGATCCATCGCTCACTCCACCACTGATAACATCACTCGCTCCACCACTGATAACATCGCTCGCTCCACCACTGATCCATCGCTCACTCCACCACTGATCCATCGCTCGCTCCACCACTGATCCATCGCTCACTCCACCACTGATCCATCGTTCGCTCCACCACTGATCCATCGCTCGCTCCACCATCGCAGTGGCCGTGGCTTGTGGTCGCGTTCTCCACCCCACAGCAGGAGGTAACGAATCAGCAGTTCGCACGTGCAGCCCGCAAGCAAATCACACGGGGGCAGCGACGAGAACGAACAAATTCGCTTCATCGGCCACGGCAGGAAGAGGGATTGAGTGGCTCATTGTTGGGAGTGGGTGGCAGCGACAAACAATGGCCTCGATTCTGTGAGCAGGATATTAGAGCACAATGCCTCCGCGCGAGAGTTTGATTGTGCCAAAAAAACATCGATGCCGTTACCCCTCGGGCCGCTAAGCCCCGGCCTCCACTGCCGCGTCGCGGAGCCAAGATGCTGTTGCGAGGCACGTGGCATCTACTGACTCCACGTGGGATCTACTGACTCCACGTGGGACCTACTGCCTCCACGTGGGATCTGTTGCCTCCTTTCCGGAGCGACCTCACGGCCGACTGGGCCCAGGTTGAGCCGCCCCAAGAATGGACCCAAAACCTGGGCCCTCCGTGGCTAGGAGATGTTAACTACCTCGTCTGGTATGCAAAGAGGTCGTGGGTTCGATCCCGACCTTGACGCCTGCTGCTGTATATTTGGAGTTTGCGGGGTCTCTTTCCGCTACCCTCTTTATCTGGCCGTATATGTGTCATGCACGTTGAATTTATTTCGCATTGCGCGTAGCCAACCGTGCTAATCAGAGGTGCGTCCCCCCTTGTCGAACGTCGACGAGCCTCCCTTCCCTCACCTCCGCCACCTCCGTCAGCAGGCCGCCCCCCTCTCGCCAACCCCCACGGCCCAGGCCAGGCAACCACAGGAAGCGGCTTACATAGGCAGCGAATGCGTGCAGCAAATACGCTCGGCAGACGCGTGGCCGTGCCGTGAGGTGGCACTTTGGGCGGTTATACGTCACCCGATGCACGCACGCACGCGGCGCGCGACTTGACCCAGATTTTTGCGAGTTTCCAACGACACAAGAGCCACTTTGCTTCCCCTCGATTTGGGGCTCAAAAATCTCGGCTCCGTGGCCGCGGCTCGGCGATACCAACTCGAGAGCCTGGTGTGGTGTGGTGGGCTTGGCGGGGCGGGGGCGTATTTTGTTGTTGTTGCGGTCGCGTTGGCAGGAGAGACGCTCCCGATTTTCGCACCTAATTTCATCCGCGGGTTTCTTTGGGGTTTTGCGAGCGCAGCGGATGGGCTCCGGCAATCGCGGCGCGACTCTGTAGCCCTTTGAAGTCATCGTAGTCGTCATCGTCGCCATCATCGGCGGCGGCGGCAGCAGGGGCGGTGTGTCGTGATGAAAGTGTTTTGGCAGTTTGGAGAAAAGAGAGCAATTGGAGAGCAATTGCAGCCAAAGGTGCTGCTGAGCCGCTAATCATCGGCAATATCGTCATCACCGACACCGTCGTCATGGTCGTGGTCGTCATCGCTGGATTAGTGTTGGCACGTTTACTGGGAAGCGACTTTCAGCTGCTCGGACGTTCATCTGCCCAGTCAGAATCTTTATTTATCCTGCAGAAATCCGATGAGCTATGAAGCTCTTTCACAGATGCCCAGTCGGGGCACGGGGTCAGACAGTTTCAACAACAAACAACAACAAACAACCACAATGATAGAAAGTGCAAAGTATATGAAAGGTAATCAAATCACTATAAATACTAAGTCATTTTTTATTTTACCAGTCATCTGTTTGGGATCATCGCAGACTCCGCCAGCCACGCGTTGTTGTTGTTGTCGTTGTTGTTGTTGTCTCGGCTGAGTAGAGCCTCTCAGTCGGGGTGGAGCGTGCGACGCGCGAGTCGAGCGCCGCCGATGGTCACTGCGCTTTGCTCCTCGTTGTCTTCCCACGGAGCCGGAGCCGTGGGTTTGTGTTCGCGTTGTGAGGCTCACTCGGGGGCCCTCGGGGCGCGCGGTTCGCTACACCCGCGTCCGTCTGGCCGAGCGAGATTAACGGACGACGGCAAACGACCAAAAAAAAAACTCAACGCAGATAAAAAAATAAAAACGTAAGAATGCGACCGGTATTGGCCAAAAACGTTCCAACGCTGCAAATTTGCCTGCAAATGACTCAAATGGGATGACAGGTAGCTGCAGCATCGCCAGGCTACTGCGACAAAAACTTGGCAGGACCCCCCTGAAAAGGAATTGTGAGACTCAACGAAGCTTTCATGGCTAAAGAAGCAAAGTCACAATGGTGAGGGAGCACTGGGCCGAGTCATTGTGGAGCCGCGTGCGTGACGCGTGCGTCGCGTGCGTGTGTACGCGCAGGGAGCGGTGGCGCAGCGGTTAGCGCGCCGCGCTACGAACCCGGTGACCCGAGTTCGATTCCCGCTCACGGTTAACACCGGTGATGATTATCTGAACCGGTCCTGGGCCTCCCCTAGGCAACTCAGCCTCCATTGAGTAGCTGGTGGCGGTGTGTAAATATCACCACTGGGGAGACAAAGGTGGCTGGGCGTGGTGCTGGCCACCCACCCTCTCGTGTGCCGTGCCGGCCTTCATAGGTGCTACTCGCTAGCAGCACTTGCCCCAACAGTTTGTTAAGGCCTCACGGGGGATCTTTGTCTTTGTCTGCGCGCGGGGGCAGGTGGTCGGCATCGCGGACCCACGACTCTTCGCAAGAACGCAGTTTCAGAGGGAGCACGGCTTGGAGAAGAGCAGCGTGTTCACTGGTGAGTACAGGCACACACAAAGACAAAGATCCCCCGTGGAGCCTTGACAGGCTGTTGGGTCAAGTGCTGTTCGCGAGCGCCTATGAAGGCCGGAATGGCACACGAGGGGGTGGGTGGCCAGCACCACGCCCGGCTGCTTTTGTCTCTCCAGTGTTGATGTTTTGCACATCGCACCCGGTACCCGTTTACGGTTGAGTCGACCGAGGGGAGGCCCAGGACCGGTTCAGATAATCGTCACTGGTTGTTGACCCTGAGTGGGAATTGAACTGGGGCCGCTGGGGTTTGTAGCACAGCGGGCTAACGACTCCACTCCCGCTGCCTGCCCTGAGTAATAAACACAGATCCACACACGAGGTCATGAGCAGCCTTCGAATTACACCGAGAATACAGGGAGAGGAGCAAGCACATGGATTGGGGAACACAATCAAGTCAGAGACGCGATTATTGACTGTTGAGGAAAGTAAATTGTTGCACCCTCGTTCCTACCGGGAGGTGAAACGAACCCACTGAGACGCACGGAACAGCAATCGCCTCCCGTGCCAGGGGTGGCCTGCTGGGCTTGGGCCGGAGAGACACGTCACGGCCAAAGGAGGGGTCGCACCATAGGGCACGGCCATCGAGGTGGGGCGATTAAATGGGCCCGTGGATTACAGAAGGATGACTGCATTGCGAGCCTGTGGCCTTCATCAAACTGTGGATAGGTCATGGCTGATGACTATAATGATATTAGGAAGTCACTGGAGCTTTGCACTTTTAAATCTAGAATTTTTTAAACAAATTCTTTAGAACTGCTTTTTGTGTTTAGTTTGTTGTCCTTCCCCCGCACCTCTGATTGGCACGGTTGGCTACGCACGGTGCAAAAGAAGTTCAACATGCATAACTCAATCTATATATGCGTGTGGGCGCGTTGGAGGCAGCCACTCTGTAGTTATCGCCGCTGGGAGGTTTGGCCCTGGCAGCGATGGCCTCGAGTGGCTACGGGTCTCCGAACCTCAACCAAGTTGGTTTTAGCCTGATAAGGGCACTCTTCACACGACAAAAACAACAACCGCCATCGGCCATTAAGTGGCGGTGACATCACCACGGCGCTTGTGCCAGGCCATGTGCATGTTGAAGCCACGTGAAGCGTCGAACGCCCGCTGACACAAGGTTACGGGGCAGACCCAGGTGCCGTGGGTCGACTGACTCTTCACACAACGCACACTGGCACATTCACTGAAGGCCAAATTGACCGAGCAAGAGGCCCCCCCGGGCACCCACCAGTTCTAGACGATTGCCACCGATGTTACGCGTGGCCACGAAATCTCAGCTGGGTCGCAGTGCCATCACCAGTGCAGCGCTGCGCCCCACACGTGCGGCTCCTACGGTGTGCACTCAAGTACACTCCTGCGTACACTCCCACGTACTCCTACATGCTCACGTCTGGCTCCGACATACTCCTACGTACATAATACAGGTGTTTTTTTGGGTTAGATCGCGTAAATATATAAATATATAAGGCACCGTCGCGTGCGTGGTGAGGGGCCGTCCATAAATGACGTCACGCACCTGGGGGGGGGGGTCAGACATTTGTGGCGATGTGTGACGAGGGGGGGGGTGTTGAGAAATGTGACGTCACATCAAAATGCGCAACTTTAAATAAATATAGACAACACGTTCTACTTAATTTAATAGACTTTTTAATAAATGTTTTTTCCTACAACATCAGAGTGCAGCGCCACATTAAATACGCACTACAATGACAATAGTTTAAAGCGATTTGAGGCATGTTTTATTTTTTGTGACGTCATATTTGAGGGGGGGGGGGTCTGACTTTTTGTGACGCCATGTGACGAGGGGGGTCAAAAATCGTCCAAAATCGCGTGACGTCATCTATGGACGTGCCCTGAGACAGCCGTCGTCACGTGCTACACTGCCACGCGTTGCAATTCCGGTGACCTTGCCTCTGTCTCCTGACCGCACACAACACCGGCGGGTAATTCGCTGCGTGGAGCTCGCCCGGCTCTCCGCTGCCTTGATATCGCCTGCCAGGCCAGGTCGAGATCGGAATCAGGATCTTTATTTATCCTGGTGGGGGGGGGGGGGGATCCGATGAGCTATGAAGCTCTTTTTCACAGATGCCCGGTAGGGTGCACGGGGACAGAACGTTGGCAACAGCAAACAAACACACGACGGCAGGGCAAAGCCTCAGAGAAGTCAACAAATCACTAAAAATAAATACTTACAAATAAATGATCGCGTAAGTACATCGATTCCTGCCGATTTGTCGACACCCAATGCAAGCCTGGGCTAGGCAGCAAAACAACAACAACAACAACAACAGTCCCACACCAACACAACAACACAGCAGTAGTCCCTCAATTTCAATCCCACATTCAAATTCAGCGATCGATACCACACTGGTAAAGATCAAAGTGGCACAAAGCACGATTTGCTATTGCGGTTGTATCCAGCGCGCGACTTCTGCTCGAGGGGAGAGATGCGTGGCCCCTGGTGTCACGGTCGGCACGCTGGGCCTGCAACCAATTCAGCGGTCGCTGGATCTCTTGGAGCTCAGTGACGTGCGGTGGGGTCAATGGCTGGGGAGGCACTGGCTCGTGTCAGAGCCAGATTAACACACCGAGGGGGGCGTGGTCTCATGGAGGGGCGTGGCCTCACTGAGGGGGCGTGTTAGACACGTCCCCCTCAGTGAGGCAGATGTGATAGCTGCCTCCCCTGGTGCTTTTTCATTGCAGTTTCATGACGAGACCAGCGAGCCTAAATGTTTTTATACACATACGTGAAATAAGTTACCTGGAGTATGGAAGGCGAGGACATGAAATGAAAGGGTCTACAAACATTACATTGGTGACATACTGAGATAGTAACAGGCACACGCTTATTGCCCGCGCTCCATCCAGTTACTCAGGGGTTGGCGATTTTGACTATAAAAATGATTGGAATCGTACAGAAATTACATTTGTAACACAGATCAGTGGAAACATCTTAATATATTTTTTTTGTAACAGCTATTCTCATTGGAGTATGTCAGGTGAGGCTCTGACTCCCCTGCCTCCCCTGACCGCACGTTCCTGTCCTGGAGCGGCGGTCGATTCGACGGTGCGAGGTTCTTAAACTCGCCCGCCGCTCCCTCACCTCGTGGCGGGGCGAAGCGTGGGAACTCCCGTCCCTTCCCGAGACGTCTCGCCAGTGTGGAGGAGTAGGCCAAATGCCCTCTGCTGGACTCCCTTCAAACCGGCAGAGACGAACTTTGGCGCGATACGTGGGCTGGCAGAGGCGTTTAACGACAGCCCATGATGCCCTGCCGGCACTACCCTTTATTGTTGAAGAGCAATGGGTGCACGCGTGTGTGTGTGTGTGTACGCGTGTGTGTACGCGTGTGTGTGTGTGTACGTGTGTGTGTGTGTACGCGTGTGTGTGTACGTGTGTGTGTACGTGCGTGTGTGTGTACGTGTGTGTGTGTACGTGTGTGTACGTGTGTGTGTACGCGTGTATGTGTGTAGTGGGGAGCGGTAGTGTAGCGGTTATCGCGCTGCGCTGCGAACCTGGCGACCCGAGTTTGATTCCCGCTCACGGCCAACACTGGTGACGATTATCTGAACCGGTCCTGGGCCTCCCCTAGGTCGACTGAGTCTGAAATGAGTACCTGGTGCGGTGTGTAAACATCGCCACTGGGGAGACAAAGGCGGTTGGGCGTGATGCTGGCCACCTCACCCCTCGTGTGCCGTGCTGGCCTTCATCGGCGCTACTCGCTAACAGCACTTGCCCCAACAGCCTGTTTAGGCTACACGGGGGATCTTTGTCTTTGCGCCGCGCTTCTTCCACAGCCATGAAAGGGCACCAAGGAGTGGCACTTCAAGTCCGTGGAGTAGGATGTAGTAAAGCTGCACAGCGTGCACCGATATCACGGCTTAGTGAGAGTGCGGGGAACCATTGGGCCTCGCTATAAATCCCCCAAGCAATGCCCCGTTCAATTGGCCTCTGAACTCCACAAATGAAATAATCACCTCTCTGGCCTCTGTCTCTCTCTGTGTGTGCTGTGAAGAAGGGGGCCACATCGCCCCAAACGCCACCTGATATCAACCTGCTAGTTGTACACACAGTGCTCCGTAGGCAAGGTGATTTGTGATGGGATGAGAGAGAGAGAGTCCCGTGGCACGCGGAGTGCGATGGGAGACCGCTGGAGGAGCCGCGTGATGCCGCTCTTCAAAGAGCAATACGCGCTCTCGCGGCCCATCAGTATTCCTTGATCATTGTACACCCCAGAAGAGTGGGCGTCAGTGGGGAGGCGGGTCTGGAGATATATAAAAAAACGAAAACTCAACATACTCTTTGGTTTTTCGGTAAAGTCACGTAGGTATATTTTCTACCTACGTGACTTTACCGAAAGAACCAAAGAGTATGGATTCCTGCAGTCACGAAAGCTTCAAATCGAGATTGAAAACTCAAAATGTGTTAATGTACCAGGTAAGGCCCCACTGAGCTATGTAGCTCTTTTTTCAGAAGCGACCTGGGCCACAAGCGATAGCTCAACGAAGTGGCTTATCACGTGGACGTTTATAGCAGCCACATTCTCAAAACGCGTGATGTTGATTCTAAATGTGGAGGGAAAACCCGGAGGACCCGGAGAATAATCCAGGATTGGGATCGAACCCACGACCTCCTGTATACCAGGTGAGATGGTTAACATCTCAACCACATTGTTCATCTGACTCTACACAGGTGACCCACCCACGGTGCACAGTGTTCATCTGCCTCTACCGATGAATTTGCAGCCATAGCCCGAGGCCTACTCAGGATTGACGAGTACCTGGTGGTGCACTGTGTAACAACATCAGCGATGGGGAGACAAAGGCGTCCGGCCGTGGTGCTGGCCACCCATCCCCTCGTGTGCCGCCGTGCCGGTCTTCTTCACAGGTGCACTTGCCCCAACAGAATGTTCAAGGCTATGCGGGGGATCTTTGCCTTTGTGTTTAAAGATGCCTCTCACGGCCTGCTGG